GCCCCTTCTTTGTGATTAAAGGGGAAAACAAAAAAGCCCAAGTCAGCTTTCCCCTGCTCCAAAAGCTCCAAAGACTCCTTATTATCTTTCATTTAAAGTACAGACTCCTGTTTGGCCTTGCAAGCCCTTGGGTCTGACTCCTGCCTATTTTTCTAGGTTATTCCACATTTCTACCCTTCCTGTGGTTGGCTGACCAGCCACACTGGTATAGCAGGCAGTGCAGCGGATAGAGCACCAAGGCCTAGAGGCAGGAAGACCTGAATTCAAATCGAGTTTCTGCTGTGTGACCCTGGGCAAGTCCCTTAACCTCTCTTTGCCCCAGTTTCTTCATCTGTAACATAAAATGGGGGATTAGAATAAGAGTACCTATCTCCCAGAGTTGTTACCAGGATCAAATGAACTAATAATCATGTAGTACCAAGTGTAGTGCCTGGCACATAGCACTATAGAAATGCTAGCTATTATTATCCTTCCCTGTAGACAGTGTTCCATTTCCCAGCTGTGAACTTTTGTACAGGCTGTGCTCCCCCAGCATGATTTTAGTACGTTCTTCTCTCACCTCAGACTCATTGAATCTTCCGATTTCCTTAGTAGCTCAGCTCCTGCCCCTCCCCAAACCATTCAAGCCTTTCCTGGGTCTGACTATAGATTTGGGGCAGCAGAAAAGGGTTTTGAACACAGGCCCTCTGACTCCAGAACCCTCCAGCTTTTAGAGCTCCCCACCAAAAAATTATCACTATCATTTTACCTTAAATTTCCTTCCACAAACTTTGTATTCACTTTGTATTTAAATGTTTCCCCGTAGACTATAAATTCTCCAAGGACTCTTTTTTGGTTCTTTGCTTTTGCATCTCTAGCGCCAGCCACAGAGTAGGGGCTCTGTAAATGCTGGCTGTTTGGATAAGAAGGAGGAATAAATTTAGTGTGAGTTGCATAATGGAAGAATCTGAAGGCTATCTTAGTGAAAAATTAAAGTTTCTTTGACAGTGCCTCAGGGACTTTTCAGGGTTAAGTATTATCTTGTTCTCCTTTGAAACTGATGAAAAACTTGTTATGATCATTGTCCAGAAACCAAGACCAATGACAAATTAGTACAGCAAAAAAAAATTTTCCAAAGGTATATTTTAAGCAGCGTACTTTAAATATTTAGTAGTGTATACATTCAGGTTGGTGGTGTGCTTTTATTAGAGGCAGCTGTGCAGTCGTGACCAGAGAGACGGCCTCAGATTTAGTGAGACCCAAAGTCTAGCTTCTGATAACATCCTGACTGTATGATCCTGGGCAGGTCACTCTATGAGATTATAAATTGTAGAACAGGGCTACTTCTGCATTGGGAGGTATTTCCTCACTGATTCACTCACGGGTCAGCACAAAAAAAAAGCAAACCCTTATTGTATCAGGCCGTTTGTGGCCTCATGAAGCCTGAGGGTTTGGCCCTGTTTTAAGACATACGGAGAAGTCGGTGTTGATAAGACTTTGGCATACTTTTAATAAACATCTATAATGCCTCGGCGCAGGGATTATAATCAGTGCACTCAGCCTGCACTCACCCAGCTCTCAACAATACTGAGCTAGTTGAGTCCCGACAAGTCAGTGTTCTGGGGGTAACTCTCTGGGCATCTCTCTTAGACACCACCATGTAGCCCCCACCATGTACCTCCCCTTACTTAGCTAGTAGGTTAAACTCTTACTAAAGGCATTCAGATGACATAGCACAGAGAATATTTACAAAGCTATATGCTTTGTAAATAGCTAACATTTATGCAATGCTTACTATGTGCCAGGTACTATGTTAAACACTTTATAATTATTATCTTAGTTGATCCTCACAACAACCCTTTGAGGTAAATGCTGTTATTATCCCCATTTTACAGTTAAGGAAACTGAGGCAAAGAGAGGTTAAGTGACTTGCCCAGAGTCACAGAGCTAGTAAGTGTCTGAGGCCAAATTTGAACTCAGGTCTATGTTGACTCCAGGCCCAGTGCTCTGTCCACTGTACAACTGCTTGTTGTCACAAAACCATTTCTGTCCACACCAATATTCTTCCATTCACCATGTATTCCTGGGGATCATGAAAAATATATATAATGTCAGAGGAATTAAAATTAAATGTAACCCAATGAACAATGAAAAGCTGCATGGTGGACATAAGCAAGCTACAGCACGGTGTCAACTTACATGGCATAAAAGATAATACTGGGGACACATATGAGTGAAAGAAAGCAGGCTGGTCATGTAGAGAGAATGTAAGACGACTCGTGAATGGTACATAGGTACTGCTCTCCCCATTATGATATGAAAAGAAGGCTTCATTGAATTGGGTTGATTCTCTCCTGGAGATGTAAGAGAAAATCATGGTCAAAAAGGTGAGGCAACATAGGGGAGGTATGATGTGCATTAACTGTCTAATAACTGTTTTTGTTCATATCTTTAACTCTTTTTGTTGTAAATGCCTTGAGAGGGTCATTGTTAATTTCTGTCTTTGTGTCTCTAGAGCTTGGTAGATTTGTCTTGCCCAGGTAGGCACTTTACAGGTGTTTACTGAATTGGTGGAAGAGCACCCATTGAAATCAGAGGTCTATCCAAGTATCCACCCTTGAGGTTGTCACTTTCTGATTTTCTTCTTTTCATTCACTGATAGTTTTTCCATAGGAAGTACTTTATGCCAAGAGTGAATGGCAGTGAGGAGAGGGTATTTTTTGGCTGAATAAAGTTAGAATATAGTGAGGGGGGAGAACTACCAGCATCGCCACCTTCTACCACCACCAGCACAAACCCAATCTACCCTTTTCTTCACTGAGGTATCTGTCCCATTGAAATTCAAGGGAGGCTCTTAGAGGTACAGGCTGTGGATTCTAATTGAAACTAGCTTTCAGGTGGAGAAGAGGTGAAGTAGAATTGATTCTAATTCACACTTGAAGCTGACTTTTGTGAGTCTCCGATCTGAAAAGTTTCAGGTGCCAGGCTTCATTTAAGAACTGGAAAAGGTAGACCCATCAGAAAGGTACTCGTTCCCACAAAATCCCATCAGGCTTTGGTTTTTCTCATACTATCTCCCCAACTACACTTTTCTCATTTGTAGCTTGCTTATTTCTTCCTGGCCTTGTTGATCAAAGTGCTCTGCCTAGCATTTTGGTCTCACTCATATCCTTGCTTATAAAGAGTGTCCCAAAAGGGTCTTAGTGCCATTTTAAGCTTTTTTTAAAAAGCAGTAAGACTTTTCAGACACCCAGTATGTTAGCCTCTCATTTACCTTGGTAGTTTCAACTAGGTCATGCCTACACAATTTTAATTGGATTCCTCAGTCCTTGATCCTGCTACTTATAGTTTGTTCTCTCTCTGTCTTACTGATATTTCTTATACCAAAGCTTCATAGATTTAGAGATGGAAAGGAATTTAAAAGTCATCTTGGCCACCCCTTCCATTTTACATTTGAGGAAACGGAAGCATAGAAAAGTCAAGTGACTTGGCCAAGGTCACACGAAGTAAGTGGCAAAGCCAAGATTTGAATCCAAATCTCCTGACTCTTTCTACTGCTGAGCATTTATTACTAGCTCCAAATGAGATATCTATCTGCTTTCCTCTGTTTGTACCAGCGAACCATGTAGTTTCCTTAGCTACAGGGTGGAGTGCTCCCATCCTCTCCTTCTCCTCCTCCTACCACCACCTAAGAATCTTTTTGTCTGTCCCAGTGCTTGTCTTATAGAACTATATTCACCCTGTGAATGTCAGGTGTTCCTCCAGCCAAACCATCATGGTTGATCATGGGATAGAAAGTCCTGCAGGCCCCAGGGACCACTACCAGAAAATTAAAGACATAAGTGTGTCAGAGAGAAGCCATGACTCAGGCCTTGAGAACTCAGAGCTGGGCCCATCAGGATTGGCCCTTGGGCAATGAGATTATATAATGATGGTTTAAAATATTTGGAATTTTGCAAACTGATTTTAATGTGGTATGGAAATTTTTCCTAACTGTAGCACTTGGAGTAAGGCCGTGTCCTTGTATGTTTCTTCCATTTATTTAGAACATAATTTATCTATTGATTTTTTTTTTTAAGGCATACACTTATGTTCATGCAAGCATAGTTCCTTTATCTCTTAATCATTTCTCAATAACCCCTAGGGGATAACTTTATATTTTATGCTGTCAGTGAAATATTACTATTGTCGGGCAAGTACTAGCAAGAATAATTTGGAACAATCAAGGTGTGAGAAGCCATTGGAATAATATGAATTTAGCTTCTCTAGCTTTCTTTAAGTGGGAAAAGGTAAAATCAGCCAGTTCTAAGGAATTTCTTTCCCATGGAATTCTTAAAAGAGAGAGAGACAGACAGACAGAGACTGAGATAGGGAGAGAGACAGGGAGAGACACACAAAAAGAGGGAGAGAGAGAGACAGAGAAAGAGAGAGATAAGGGGAGAGACTGACTTTTTAAGAATCCTAATGTTGGGATTCTTTCAGGGGAAAGAAACTATAACAAACATAACTCTCCTGGGAGTGAATGTTGCATATGTTCCCAGAACAGTCCTGTGTCAGCTATATTTTCAAGATATCAAATATAAAACAATTGTTTCTACTGGTTAATTTTATACTTGATCTGGAGGTGAATTTTATTGAGCCTGAGTCAATACAGGTGTCTGAGGGATACAGCTTTTTAAATTAAAACTTGGCCAAGGAAAGCTTTATGGTGATGAGAGTTTACAAACCTATTTTCAGGGACCCAGAGGAAAGAGGTTGGTACATTGAGTGATTGTTTCAAATGACATTCCATGGGTGAATAATTATTCTGGTACTCCTAACTTGAGGCTTCCTAAAAACAAATAAGACAGTCTTCTTTCTTAAGTTGTTTTCTTTCTTTCTAAGTTTCTGAGGTCAGTTTCTTATCATATTTGAATCTTTTATGTCAGTTCCTTTATTATTTAACATCTTGTAAATGTGAAATATATGAAGTTGTATATTTTAAAAAATTAAGAATTTTCTTTCTTTTAAAAAATTTTTAGGGCAAGCAAATAAAGTAGCCAAGGATGCTGCTAACAGATGGACTGGTATGTACTCTACACAACCCTGGCTCCATTTCAAGCATTCTAAAATAAACTTGTTGTGCCGTGACTGTTAGGACATCAAAGATGTGTGTGTGCCTTGCTCTATGTAGGAGCTACAGTCCTGAAAACTTAGGTGTTGATTGGATTTTGTAAATTCAAGCATTGCTTGAAATATACACAGTGAGGTAATTTTAAGGAAGCTTATTGTGACTCAAAAATATATATAATTTTGTAAACCAAGTAATCCCTTCAAAATGTGTCTTTTTAAGTAATGCTTCCACTAAGTCTGTGTGACCTTGGAAAGATCACTTTTTTTCTTTGAACCTCAGTTTCTTCTGTGTAATATCAAGGTATAGATGATTTAGGGATGTGGAAAGAATGCTCATTTTGGAGTTAGAAGACCTAGGTTCAAATCCAGCTCTGCTGGTTAGTACCAATGTGACCATGGACAAATAACCTCTCTTGGTTTCAGTTTCCTCATCAAAAAATGAAGAGGTTGAAATGACCTCCAAGGTCCCTTCCAGCTTGAAATTTATGACCCCTTCCAGATCTAAGGTTACCTAAATGGTTTTGCATATTGAGTTTGTCCAAAGCAAGATTTGCCTTGATAGTTTTTGTAGTATTTAGAGCCCTGTTCTTGTTCCCCTTATCCCTTTGTTCACTAATATTTTTCCACCTTAGTTTCACCATTTGCAAAACATTTAATTTATCCAGTTTGTATTTGATATATTTTCAAAAGATAAGGATTCGGTTAGATATACGTTACAAAATACCTTCTCATATACAGAAATCTCATAAAATATCATTAAATATATAGAGAAGCGCAATTAACATTGCTAAAAGTAGTCAGAAAATTAACTGCTCACATTTTTCCAGTGTTGAATTATAAAATCTGATGGTTTTACTAACGACTGGGTGTCTTGTTGAAAAATCCTATGTATCTGTACACACACACAGACACACACACACACACGAGATCTTTCCTCTCTTTCTGTGAGGGAGCATGATTAGATACATAGAGCATCATTGCCAAGCCTTCTGACTCCCCACCTGGGCCTGGAATCTCTTCGGTAGCGATAACTCATTACTCTGCCTCAACAGAAGTAATTTGAAGATCATTTGTTGTCTAAATATTACTGGCATTAGTGATTATTAATGATACTTAATAATACTTATAAATGAATCAATAACAAATAATACTGATAAAAATCCCTTCTATTATTGTCAAAGTTGCCATCTTAGTCCTTGGGGGCACCTCTTTTTGTATCAGTTGAATAACTTCTAGGAAATATGAAGTATGCCTCCATGAAAAAATCTAGAGGTTGATAAAGAAAAAGAATTAGATAATAGAATCTGGAGCTGGGGAGACCTAGAAACTATTTCGTCCAGCGCTTTCATTTTAGAGATGAAGTAACTTAGGCCAGATGAAGGGGAGAGATTTTTCTGGGTCACATAGGTAGTAAATAGTGTGGCAGAGTCAGGATTCTAACTTGGGTCCTTGGACTAGTACCATACTTAGTGGGCCACACTAATTGATTTAGGGAGTGTATGTTGAGCTCTTTTTCAGTTGTAGCCAACTCTTCATGACCCCATTTGGGGTTTTCTTGGCAAAGATACTGGAGTGGTTTGCCATTTGCTTCTCCAGCTCATTTTACAAATGAGGAAACTGAGGCAAAGAGGGTTAAGTGACTTGCCCAGGGTCACACAGCTACTAAGTGTCTGAGGCCAGATTTGAACTCAGGAAGATGAGTCTTCCTGGTTTCCAGACCAGTGCTTTATCCACTGTGCCACCTAGGGAGTATATAGTCAATCACATATTAAAAAAATTAATAAATGTCTTTTTTTTTAAACTGGGAGGAGAAACCTGGCATTTTTCTCATCTGTATCACAAATAGAAAGCAATTTCCCCAATAATTCTGAAGTGCAAGTTAGTTATATAGTAAGCATTCAATTAATACTTAATGATTCCTATAAAAATACATTCCTGCTTTTCCAGTGTCCTTTACTCTCTTCATGACTCAGCTTGAACACTCCCTTCTTTATGAAATCTTTCCTTCCCCCAACTGCTAATGTCTTCCTACCCTAAACTATTTAATATTTATTCTGCATTCTCTTGCCCTTCCTCCCAATGTAAGCTCCTTCAGGGCAAGGACTATTTCATTTTTGTCTTTCCCCTCATATGACTGACAGTACCTAGAACATAGTAGGCACTTAATAAATGCTTCTTAATTCAATAATTCCACATTAGTGATGACTTTCAGAATTAGGTTTGGAGAAATGGTGCTTAAACGTTTCTCTTTTCTATTACCTGCAACATATTTGTATTGGTACAGAGCCAAGAATATATCAAATCAGGGATGGAAGATATTTTTAAATCTACAGTAGTAACTGCTAAAAAAAAATAGATTTTTTTTTTTTTGTGGTTACAACTTGATCCTCCCAACATAAACATGTGATACAAAAAGATTCCCAAAGATACAAAGAGAGAGAGAGAGAATGCAAAGTACAATCAACGCAGACTTGGCCTTTTTAAATTAAATATTGCTTATGGCATATTGCCAAAACTAAAAACCTTTAATTACATAGGTATTAGATGGAATTTCTCTCCCTTTTTACTAAAAATGTCTCAAAGATATTGCCTTAACTTCAGATATGGTGTTCAAAAATTCAGTATCACAGATAATCATTTTTAAGTGAGCCATTATATCAGGTTGCCTAAAATTATAAATACAATTAGATATACCTCAAGCAATATCTTACATGTTTTATGTCATGAAATATTTCTTAGAACGGTATTTTTGCTGTTAACATTTAACAAGGAAAACTAACATTATATTACCCCCTAAGCTATTTAAATCAATAATGAGACAAGAATAATTTGTTACAAAATTGTTCAAAGCTAAGTGGAGAGATAGGTTTATGTAGTGGATAGAGGGGCCAGCCTCCAAATCAGGAAAATCATATGCTGCTTTTGAAAGGGCAAGTCACTGAATCCTTCACTGCCAGGAGACAATCATCTAAAAATTCTCAGTTGTTTAAGAGTTGCTTTCTGCATCAATAGATGAAGTTTCTACACTTAGAGTTTCTCAGCCCATAAAATGTCCAGATTCACTCTACCAAAAAGTAATGAAAAGGGCACAAAAGAAACATACTTTTTTATGTCATGTATGTGCATATTTGTATACATGCTACCTCTTCAATTACAATGTAAGCTTCTTGAGGGCAGGGGCTATTTTTGCATTTTCTTCTTATTCCTAGCACTTAGCATAGGGCCTGGCACATCATAGTAACTAATAAAATTTATAGTTATTAGTATACAGTAACAGCTTAGTATTAATTAATTAATTAGTATCATAGTAAGAGCTAACATTTATGTAATGCATGAGGGTTTACAAGACACTTGACATATATTTTCACATTTGATAGTAAGCTTTTAATAAATGTGTATTGACTGATTGATTAAAGGAACAAATTGTCCCATTATGATTAATATTCCCCATTTTCTCCCAATATTTTGCTTTGTATATACTATAGTCATACAGCAAATAGCTAGCTACCTGTTTCAGTGTTATTTGTACACTCATCACAGTTACTGCATTCTAAGATTGTCTTCGTTTATTCACCAAACTGTTTCTGAACATATGCTATGGGCAAGGCAGTGTGGGAGATACAAAGATGACTAAAGCACACTCCCTGTACTCATAAAGATGGGGAGCAGGGTACAGGTGGAGGGAAAAAATGAGAACTTGACAAGAAATGATTTAGTGCTTGTGATCTTGGGTGACATTGTCTTAACCGCAAAAAGAGTTCATCCAGTGAAGATTTTATCAGTACCTCTCTTTTGAATTAAATTGCTCCATTCTGCTATATTGTGGGGAGATTTACAGTTTAAATGCACACACACACACCCCACCCTCCCAAACCTTCCCTTTGGTCATACACTCTTTAAATAAAATCTTTTCTACTTCCCTGTACACACAGCTCCCTGGTGAGGTAGCTACCTTTAGCAGTAGAGGTGCGTACAATTGTTCTGCAATTAATCGTCTTAGAGAGTCAGTTGGGGCACCACAAGGTTAATTGACTTGCCTAGGGTCACACAGTCTGTATATGCCAGAGGCAGGATCTTAACCCAGGCCTTGCTAACTTACAAGTAGATGCTCTATCAATTACACCATGCCACCCTTCACTTCCCACCATATTGCATCCTTTTTCTCTTTCCTAAAACTCATCCCCATTCCTCTAGGATCCTCCCTATCTTAATATATTATGTTAATATGTTAATGTTAACATTTGTTGAGCTACAAACACTAACCCATCTTCCTCAATGTAATTTTATAATCTTAAAATTGGTGTTTTTTTCTGGAATTAATATTTACTTCTCTACATCTAGTCTATTACATTATTAGCTTGAGGGCAATAGCCATGTATCCTGGTAACTTCCTGAAGTACCTGATGACCCCCTTTATAAATCTTGTATTGTCTCAGTACCATCAGGACTTAACAGATGATAATGTGATAGCACACAATAGCTGTCTGCTGTCAAATCTGCTAGCTCTAAAAGCCTTAGACTATCTCAGTTTACCTCAGTTTCCTCATCTGTAAAATGAGCTGGAGAGGCAAATGGCAAACCACTTCAGTATCTCTGCCAAGAAATTGCCCCCCTTCACACACACACAAATGGGGTCATAAAGAGTCAGACATGACTGAAATGATTAAACAACAAGAAATGATGTGTGTGATGACCCAAAAGATAGGAGAAGATGTTTCCAAGCTACTCTTTCAGATCCATAGCTGTTACACATGGCATGTACATGTTTTCAGACTTTTTAAATGTATCAGTCAGTTGTGTTGGGTTAGTATTTTTTCCCCCCTCTCTGAAAATACTATTTATCATATAGGTTAGCTCTCTGGGAGAGGCAGTGATATTTGGCGTGACTATAATGATGTAAGAAACAGAAAATATCAATAAAAACTTATTTTAACAAAAAAGAAGGAAGGAGGAAAGGGTAGTAGAGAATATTGTCAAGGGTAAGGGTATATCGATGACCATTCCTTCGTCCAGGTCAGGCATGAGTTAGGATTCATAAGTAGTTGGCTTCTTGTATTGCATTTTTATCGTGAGTTTCTTGTTACTGTGCTCAGAATATACTTTTTTCTTGATTTTTTTTTATCTATACAAGAAACGTTTTCATTCATCATCATCAGCAACAACATTCTGTAACTAAAAGAAAATATTTGACAATTATTGACTAATTTTGGCACCCAGGTGCCAATCCAGAAAATTGTCTTTGAAACATATTATGAGTGCATCTACCCTGAAATATTTCTTTTCTTTTTCATAGATAACATATTTGCTATAAAGTCTTGGGCTAAAAGGAAATTTGGATTTGAAGAAAGTAAAATTGACAAAAACTTTGGAATTCCAGAAGACTTTGACTACATCGACTAAAACATCCTGTGGTCGTTCTAGATTACTTGTGTGTATTTGTGCATATTAATACTGTCCTTCCAAGATTATCAAACTGTCATACACTTGCAACTGTGGGGTTTTTTTTTATTTGAATTCCTTCAATAAAGCATAAAATCCTTGTGTTCTGCCCTTTTTTTTATTAAAAGAAGTACAGTAATCTGCCTTGGGAGTAGCAAGTACCCCTTGAGGGTCTTAAAAATGAGGCAAGGGATTCCTCTTCAGGTGCTTCGGTTTTGGCCTTCCAGCTCTGATTCTGTGATTCTGCTCTATCTTCAGCCATGCACTATTCAATAAAATAAGAAAATTCCAGTCAAGTTAATACAGGCTTAGCAGAGGTACTGAATTTGTTTCTTCAAGGCATCATTCTAAGAGATTATGACAATATCATCATTATCTTTTCCCTCATATATTAAATAAATAGAAAAACATGGACTAGATGGTCCCCCAGGTTCCTTCCAGCTTTAGACCTATAATCCTATGAAGTATATGAAAAATCAGCTGGTCTTAGAGTCTGGAAAACCTGAGCTCATCTTCCTTCTAACATTTTAATTGGCTGTGGGACTCTAAGCAGGTCTATATTTTAATGCCTCAGGCCAACCTCTAACATTCTAAGATGGAAAATTGGTACCATTCTGCATTGATAGAAAGACTGTCTTCACTGGGAGTTCTCTATTCTACTGAGGTTTTAAGTCTAGTCCAAAAGAAAATTAAAATAGGTATAATTCATTTAAGGCCTTTAGTTCATGTGTATGGATCGAAAAACATTTTTAAACCACACTACCCTCTTTGTTATTGCCCTTGTCTGGCTTTAGGCCCTAGAAAACATCACTGTTGCCTGAGGATTCCGAGAAATCTGTATATGGCACCCAAATGATATTATTGAATCTCATACAAGAAATATGGAGATCCAATGGAGTCCAATTTAAAGTTACGCTGAAATTCCCAAAATAACAAGAACAAATTTATTTTAAATTTTTCTGTTGCAAAGACCAAGCAATGTCACATTGCCCAGGTTTATGCTATTTTTACATTAATATAACATGGGAGGGGGGAAAAGGTGGCAGTAGTAGTAATCACTTTCATTTACTTCTTTAAAGTTTACAAAGTGCTTTATACCTCTTATGCAATTAGAGCTTCATAACAACCTAGTGAGGTAGGTATTACATATGTTGTCCTCATTTTATAGATGAGGAAACTGCTATTCAGAGGAGTTAATGTGAGTTGCCCATGATCATCTAGCGAGTAAATGTCAGAGGTGAGATGTGAGTCCATCATGAATTTTTAATATTTAAAAGTGACTCCATTCTCCCCTCTCCTTCCCTACTCCCACCATATCCTTGTATTTGTGAGCCTCTTCAAAGGTGATGATGTGGCTCAAAGCATACTTGAATATCATTATTAGTTATGGCATTCAGGAATTTTTTAAATGAAACTAATTTTTTTCAATTAGCAAATACTTGGCTTTTTTTTCTCCCTTCTACCTCACTTCACCCCACAACTGAGAAAAATGTTTAAAAATTTTGCAACAAAAATGTGTAGTCAAGCAAAACAAATTCTTGCATTAATCATATTCAAAAAACATAGGTCTCATTCTGCACCCTGACTTGATCACTCTCTGTCAGGACGTTGTCATTCAAGGATTTTTAAAACTACTCCCCAAAAGAGATAAGTTAAAAAGAAACTCACCCCACGTGTAATTTTTTCTGACTTGAAAGATGTTATTTGGAGTATTTGCTAGCCAATCTAACGTGACAGCTTTTTAAAAATATAGACAGCTGTTTATAACATCCTTTACCGCCTCCATTTTTTTCCTCCCTCAAGTAGTCGAGTTCAGATATTTTCTCTTTGGCAGCTTGAAGGAAATACTCCATATGTCTGCAGTGACCCAAATGGCATTCATTATGTTTGCTGGTGAATTTGGTCTTTGTACATGCAGAGTACCCCAAGGCTCCCCAATCACTTCCTGCAGGTGGGTAGGACAAGATTGGTCCATCACCAGTTATGTAAGAGTTTATGTTGCCTGGGGAAATGATTCTCACTGGAAAGAAAGTTTAGTATAGGAGAGGAATAAATAGCCTGTCACAGTGCGAGTCAGTATGACAAGTCATCCGCTTTAGCCAACGGTATTACCAGAGAAGAAACTTTACTGTTCAGAGAAGAAGCTATTGTCTATAATATTCTGTGCAAATCTTTTAAATTCTAAAATTAATGGCACCTGAAACATTATTTAGCCAAACATGAGGTTGGGAGAGACTAGAGGTATAAATGAGGATACCTGGAGGTATAAATGAGGATACCTGGAGGTATAAATGAGAAAGATAAAAGAGCTAAACCAGGAGCCAACATCAGGTGTAACACTTCATCCCAATCTTCCAGGGCTTTTTATTGGAGTTGTGTACTATTGGTCACAGTCAGAGTGACCAAGGACCCAGTCTTCTGTTTCTTCTCATTCTCTGACCTGTTTAGCTCTGAGGCTTGGCATTACTTTGGTTATGGTCGAAGTCAGCATAGAGATTCTCAAGCAAATTCTAGCCCTTCATCTACTCAGTAACTGACCCAACTTCCTAGGTCTCTTTGATATGGTCAAAATGGCCCTTGAGAGGTGATATCTGCTAGACTTAAAGTCCATGAGGGTAGGGACCAGGTCTTTATTATTATTATTTATTTATTTATTTATTTATTTATTTATTCATTCATTCATTCATTCATTCATTCATTTATTTATTTATTTATTTTTAGTTTTCAACATTCACTTCCACAAGATTTTGAGTTCCAAATTTTCTCCCTATCTCGTCCCTCCCCCTACCCCAAGACAGCATGCAATCTGAATACCCCTTCCCCTTGTCTGTCCTCCCTTCTATCTCCCCCCCTTCTCTTAGCCCCTTCCCCTTCTATTTTCCTATAGGGAAGGATAGATTTCTATACCCCATTGTCTGTGTATCTTATTTCCCAGTTGCATGTGAAAACAATTTTTTAACATTTGTGGGGCAGTTAGGTGGGGTAGTGAATAGAGCACTGCCCTGAAGTCAGGAGAAAATCCGGTCTCAGACCAAACACTTGACACTAACTGTGTGACCCTGGGAAAGTCACTTAACCCCAATTGGCTAAAACACAAACAAAAAAAAATTTGTTTTTAAAACTTTGGGTTTCAAATTTTCTCCCTTCCTCCCTCCCCACCCACCCTCATTGAGAAGGCAAGCAACTTGATGCAGGTTATACCTGTGTAGTCATGCAAAACACTTCCATAGTAGTCCTGTTGTGAAAAACTAACTATATTTCCCTTCATCCTATCCCACCCCTTGTTTATTCTTTCTCTTTTTTGACCCTGTCCCTCCTCAGAAGTGTTTGCTTCTGATTACCCCCTCCCCCAATCTGCCCTCCCTTCTATCATCCCCCTGCTCTCTTATCCCCTTCCCCCCTTTTTACCTGTAGGGTAAGATAGATTTCCATACCGAATTGACTATGTATGTTATTCTCTCCTTAAGCCAAATCTGATGAGAATAAGATTCACTCATTCCCTCTCACCTTCCCCCACTTCCCCTCCACTGTAAAACCCTTTTCTTGTCTGTTTTATGTAAGATAATTTACCCCATTCTACCTCTCCCTTTCTCTTCTCAGTATTATCCTCTCACACCCCTCAATTTTATTCTCTAGATATTACCCTTTCATCTTCAACTCACCCTGTATCCTCTATCTGTTTATGTATATATATATATATATATATATATATATATATATATATACACACACATAATTTTTTTCCCTCCAACTACCCTAATACTGACAAAGGTGTCATGAGTTACAAATATCATCTTTCCGTGTAGGAATGTAAATAGTTCAACCTTAATAAGTCCCTTATGATTTCTTGTTCCTGTTTACCCTTTCATGTCTCTCTTGAGTCTTGTATTTGAAAGTTGAATTTTCTATTCAGCTCTGGTCTTTTCAACAAGAATGCTTGAAAGTCCTCTATCTCACTGAATGTCTATTTTCCCCCCTGAAGGATTATACTCAGTTTTAAGGGTAGGTGATTCTTGGCTGTAATCCTGTCTCCTTTGACCTCTGAAATATTATACTCCAAGGCCTCCAGAGACCAGGTCTTTTATTAGAACCTGCATAGCACATTACCTCATACATAGTAGACACTGTGAAAATATTGATTGAATACCAGCCTCCATGCCCTTGCTTTCAAGTATTCTAAGCAGATGGAATCTGCCCTTTTATTTTCTTTTAAAGAATAACAAGTAAAAAGAATTTAAAAGCAGTGGGTAATATCCTTGATTGTCAAGAAATTTTTCATGTTCAGATCAAATCACCAGGGTAGAATAAGATGAATGAACAGGAAAATGTATTGAAGGCTTACTGGGTGCAAATACAAAGAGAAAATCAGAGACAGTGAGCTCTTAGCTCACAATAAAAAAATGAATGTTCATGGTGGAGGAACAAGGTAATCACTCCCCCTTTCCACGTTTGACTTATTGTTGGCTTATAGTATTGATAAAGATCTGGGTGTGTCTCAGAAATAGTTTCCATTATATCACTGTTCCTTTAAGATCAGAAAAAGAAATGAGTGAGTATGCTAGTGCTGGACTCATCAGAGTGGTTTAGAGTCAGGAAGTTCTAGGGTGTGAATGCAGACTTAGTATCTTCAAAAGATGTAAGTCAGTAAAAATTTAGTTCAGTAACATAAGAGTTATGTTTGTAACAACTTTTTTTTCAAAGCAGTATCAGGATTGATCATGGTTTCAAGTGGCAGATAAGTTCCTTTGGAGGTGTTCTTTATGACATCTGTATAAATAAGTCAGGAGAAAAATGTGGTATCTTTTTATGAATGTAGTGGGCTTGCATGTATATGGTTGGGTTTCAGTAAACCAGCTTAAATTTAGAAAAATCCTACCTGTAAAGGGTATAAGTCATGAAATGTACCCTTGTGCCAAAGGACTCAGAAACCATCGAGTCTCAAAGCTACTGGTATCCATGATTGTAGGCCAAGAAATGAGTCACAAACATATAACTTTAACATAATGACATTTGTGTAGTAGCAAGGTTAGAGAGGAAATGCCATGTAAGTCCCTGCAAGAGAAGAAAATGAAGAAAGAGA